AGATTTCAACATCGTAATAATTAGAAATACCCATAATAATTATAACAATAATAAAAAGGTATAATATGATACATAAATATGGAAGAGCAGTTTGTAATATGAATACATTTTCTCTAGACGAGATCACAGTTTTATTTTGTAAATATTACATTTAAGTATATATATACACACATATATGTACAACTATATATACATGTGCATATATATGTAAATTTTTATTTATATATAATATCTTTATATAGATAGATATCTGCGGACAGGTTATTGATTATAGAGACCCAAGGAAGCAAGTCAATAATTGTTCAAACTTCTCCTCAATGACTGCTGGTGTAGAGTTTAAGAAGCCCCGACTTTGCACTCAGAATGCTGTTATCTTTTTTTTAATGGAACACTCGATGTGGAATTTTAAGTCTGAGAAGAAAAAGCGATTTTAGGGACTCCCTTCCTCTATAAAGTTGGAAATGGCCCAGAAGTCTTGAACAAGCAGTAAGCTGACTTTTACACGGTAGGAAGTCACTGTTTTCTTTCTTTCTTTCTTTCTTTTTTAATCAAATTATAGAACCGGTAAAGGCCAGAATAAGGGGGAGAAAGTCCAATTTCTCTACAAGTGAAATATTCTCAAATGCAAGCCTCTCTCTTAAGGTGGATTCTAATCTAGGAGCTCCACCTTTATTCCTTGATATATCAAATGAGCACTCCCTGTCTTTCTTAAGTGGCCAATGGGCCTGTGCACTCTTGAAAAGTAACCCATAGACTTTGTGTCAAGCCTTGGCTCTCACAGATTGCCACAGCCCCTTTAAAACCTCAGGGCCTCACAATCCCCGCCCTCCCACTGTGAGGTAGGTAAGTAGTAGTATCCCCATTTTGCAGCTGGAGAAACTGAGGCAAATGGAGACGCAATATGATGACTTGTTCAAGATCACTGAGCAAACTGCTACCTGGAGTCAAGAATTCTGTGTTCTTACTCTAGGGACACAATTCCTCTCTTGGCTAGTACACATTTCTTTTAAAGATTGAACAATGGGTAGGAATTTGGCGAAACTTGAGCAAATTACAAGAACAGGCTTTTATTCCTTTGCTTTTTGGTTTTATGTTTGTTGTTTGCTTTGTTTGTTCTGTTTCTCAAAAACCGCGGGAATTACCTGTCTGGTCATGTAGCAGCTTTTTAGGAAAGTGGACTGTGCAGTGTGATTCTAAGTGCAGACTTTACAAAGCCCAGTGCTCTAATGGTAAATACAAACATTTTATAATGTGAAAAGTGTGACACAATATGTCCCCTTAATATTTGGAAAAACCAGTTTCAAGCCCTCCCCATTCCCTGCTATCACTGATTGACACCAAACAAATAAACAAAATCCCCCCCCCCCCACCAAACAACAACTACATATTAAGGGGAAAGATGCCTTATTTCCTGGACCTACCACAATGTACAGAAAAAAACAGACAGCAATATAAAATCCCACTCTACTCCTGCTAGGGAAACCTTTATGCTTGTGTCTACCTACTGAGTCTGTAGAATAAACAATGTCCTTCAGAAAGCACAAAAATAGTTTTTTTTTTTAAATTCTTATTTTTAATCATGCATTTTATTTACTTTTAATCTCCTTATCTTCTATTAATCTCTATCTGTACAGCCCTGTCACCATCAATTTCTTCTTTTTATTTTCCCACTTGAAGTAGTTCCAGAAAAAAAAAAAAACAACAAAACAAACTGTTCACTTGAATTTATGGTTTCCTTCCTTCCTTTCTCTATTTCTCTTTCTTCCTCTCTTTCTTTCCTTCCTTAACACAGGTAAGACCTATAACAAATTAACAGTTAGAACCAAGTTAAATCAAACCTGGAAGGGAGGTAGCCGAAATCTGTCTCAAAGAATTATTTTCAACAAATAGCATTGAAGCATTGGCCAAGGTGGGAAGAAGACCAAGAGAACTGTCTAGGCAGTGACTCAACATGCTGAAGCCAGGACTAGCAGCTGATACCCTCCATCTTCAGAGCCTTACTATTTACAGTCATTGATCTCTCCCTTTCATAACACCCCAATTCAGCCACCAGAACGGACTTCCCAAGGACAGTCTTCCCTTAAAAGGTGGTTGGCACAGAATCTGGGGGGTAATGCAAGTCCTCTGGCAGCCAGTAGGGTTGCGGCTTGGAAAGTCTTCCTAAGAGAAGGCTTGGAGAACTGTCCACCTTATCTTTTCTTTCTTGCTGTTAACAGGCTAATACTTCTTCAGAACTTCCAAGTTCTGAAGAAGCTAATACATCTTCAGAACCTCCAAGTGCTTTAGGACCTCTGAGCTGCTGACAGACAAGTGTTTCAGAGCTGCCTCCTTGTGAGTACTCCACTGTCCTAAACTGGAGATGATGATCAGGGGATGAGATACTGAGTTTATCCCCAGAAAGAAAATGAAACCGAGAATCAGTGCATTGCATGAACAGAGCTGACTGTCCTCCACTAAGGTTTGAGAAGGGCCTATTAATGACACCTTGCATGTGGGCCCAAGGCTGACTGTCAGTCAAGCAGCCTCTCCCACGCAATATCCTTGGCAAACATGAATTTGTGAGTAACAGGTTTGAATGATGGCAAGGAGGAGACCGGAAGGCTCTTTGCTCATAAGGGCTCGATCAACCCGAGAATCTGAAGGTAGAAGTCAGCCTTCAGGAAACTCTTCTCAGCTGAAGTGTGTGTGCAAGTGAAGGAGGAAAGAGCATGAGAGTCGATTTCAGGGAAGCTGGTGAGGTTCTTCTGTGATTCCTGCCACCCCACCGTTAGTAATGTTGTCTTTGGGTCTCCTAGGCTTTGCACTACTTACTGATGTAAAAAAAAAGCAACTGGGAGGGCTGACTCTGTTACCTTTCTTAGTTTGTTCCTTCCTAGCTAGCACCACCCACGTTGATAACTCAGCTAGGGCAAAAGAGGGGCTTTAAGAGTTGGCAAGAGTTCTAAGATACTGGGGAGGGGTACAAAATGGGATCAATGCTTATATGATTATTATTATTTTGCCAAGGATTGGCCCTGGTAATTAGAGGAAAAAAAATGCCCTGAATATAAATGAGATATAAGTTTGTAAGAGGAAATATAAAGGATCTGAGCCAGGCCTTAACAGTGGAGAGCCTAGAACTCAATCTCAGAGTTTGTAATATGGTACAAGCCACACAAAACTACCTAAGCACTGCATCCTTATTTGTGGGCACCTGTGCAAAAAGCACCTTGATATATTTCTTAATATAACAGACCACAGATGGCCAATAGATATCTTCTCAAGTGTTGTTGATCAGTAGGTAATTGCTGTTGGGAGTGATACAGTAAGAAGGTTTCTGAAGTTATTTTTGGTCCCTGGAAAAAGGGCTATAGCTGATTAACAACGCCTGCGTCAGATGCAGGAATGAGGAGGGTCAGCCCACGTGCCTAGTATTTTCCATTTCTATGCTAAACTTTGTTTTTGTTGGTTCACTAGACTTGAGATGATCTGTAGCAATCTTTACGCGATGTATCTAGTTTAGACACTCCCATCGCCTCACTTTCCCAGTTTCAAAAATCACGTCAAACTTAAGCATTCTCTCCACCTCATTCTGGATTCATCTCTTCCCATGTTAATTCAAAAGGAGTGGACAGGTAACTGGCTGAACAGAGGCAAAGAGGACCCCAAAGAGGTGGAGGCTTTTATGCGCGTTTGGCTAATTTCCTCTTAACTTTTGGAGGCTGAGCACAGGAGAGAGGGAAGGGCTGCCCCACCACGGGTGTGGCTGGTGTACCGGGAGCTGGAAGACTGTGGAAAGCACGATGGCCGTGCTGGGGTGTTGGGGACCGAGGCTGTGAACTCTGGCTTCCCTCTGACAGCCCCTCTGGAACACAGTCCAGACAGATCCCATCCAAGACGATTGTCTGTCCCAGGACTCTAGCTACTCGGGGCAGCAGTGAGGTCCTCAGACCCAAAGCCTGCTCTAGCCTGGAGGGGCAGGAAGGCTTGGATAAGGATGATCACTCAAGAGTCCCTAAAATTCCAGCAGTCTCTGGAGGGCTCCAACATCATAGAAATTTAACACTGTTCCACTTGGTTATAAGAGCGAACACTGGCTTAGACATTCTGGACTCTCAGTGAGGGTTCCAGCATCTTAAGTCCCTCAGTTCCCTTCCAGAATGAGAAGCCCACCCATGGGGGACTTCACTTCTCACCACGTGGGCCTATGAGGGGTCTTCTCTTGCAGAAGGGCTAAGAGGTGAGGAGCTGTGGAAAAATGTGGGTCACTTTTAAGGCAGACTGTTTGGTTGTGTGGGGTTTTTCCTAACCTAGTCCTACCATCTTGGGGTACTCAATGTATAGGATAGAGCAGCCGGAAAAGTAGCAGCAAATGTGGTCCCAAGGCAAGATTTGGGGAATGGGAGGGATATTATGGCCTCAAGCCTCAAGCAGGGGGCTGTTATAATACCTTGACATTGCAATCCTAAGCCATTTCCAGCTTGGCCTCGAACCCTGGAGTTGGGGTAAAATCCCCCATGGCAGCGGAAGAATTTGGGGGCTTTGCATACCTTGGATTCTTTACCTCTTCCTGGGTCCTACTTCCCTAGAAGGTAGGTGATCAGAGACCGTTTCACGTCCAATCCCGAAGGACTGCACCCTTGTGCACACCTTCCATACTGTAAGCCACAGGCTGTGAGCTATCTTAGCATTTCAGCACTTGGTCTTGGCAGTTTCTGTAACTCTCTTTCTCCCAAGGACAGTGTCGGCTAGGAGCCTGGGAGAGGAAAGACTGAGTCTGCCCCCGTCTCTCTCTGCTCAGTCTCCAAAGCTGCCCTCACGCGGGTGTCCGCGCGGGTGCGTACGCAGGCACACCTACTAACCGCAGGTGGGCGCACTCCTAGATACGTAACTCCTACATACATGTTTCTTGCTGTGGTCGTGTGACAAACGGTTAGAATTTTAGGAGGCTCAGGGACTGCACGCCGTATATGCAATCCGTCTAAGACTTTGGGATGGGATTCCATTCCATCATTCAGCATGGCAAGACTTGGTTCACGTGCCCCCACTACGAGTCCTTCCTGGGTGAAATTAAAGGCAGACCGGTTGGGTGCTAAGGATCCCTGGTGTGGAGAGGCCATTCCGTTGAGCAGCTGACTGTGAAATCAATACCAAAGGGATGCGGGTCCTGGCATTGGGAATTCTTTGACAACTCCTTGTCCTTCCTTAGCCATGGCTGTATCCTCGGAGGTCTTTCCGGCTGTGTTCTTGGGCCTGGGGGTCCCGACAAGCACAGTCACCCTGTAGGTCACAAGACATAGGGAAGGGGGTGACCTGCAGAGAGAAAGATAGAAGAAGTGAGCCAGGTGGTTGAGGCCGGAGCAGCAAATTCCAGAGAGGCAGTGCAGGGCACAGGGCAGATCACTGGGTTTGGGGAGCAGCAGATTCAAGACATGACTCTGCTTCTTACTAGCCCTGTGATAACTTTTATCAAGGTCACCATGGTCATTATCATAGCACTTCCCATTTTCAGGGGCATTTATTACAGGTCAGGCAAAGTGCTAAATGCTTTCCAAACAGGAAAACACTGAATCCTTTGACAACTCTGTAAGATAGACACTAAAACAATCACCCTTTTATAGGAGAAACTGAGGCGGAGAAAGGGGCAGGCATTTGCCCAAAGTAATAAGTGACAAATCTAGTATTTAAAGTAGAAAAAGCAACCTCCCCCGGAGCCCCAGGTTCCTAGCTGTGGAATCAGTAGAATAGGACAGGCCTTGCACTGTGGACTCTGAGGGCCGAATGAAATCATGGGTGAAAAATTGTAATGTACTACGCCAGAGTTGGTTAATAGACTTGTACAATGGAATATCTAACTTACAGGGCTGTTGTGGTGATCAAGTGATATAAAGGACGTGACAAGGTCTTTTAAGAAAACATAACTCTGCATATATCGGTAATTTTGATTTTGAGAGGCAATGATGAAAACAACAAAAGCATTTGTCAGCAAGCTCAGACCACCTTCTAGGGGGCTTAAATCCTGCTGGGGAACATTTCACAGAGAGACTTTTGCAGAAAAATTTGGCTGAAGGATCTCGGGAGCGGATTTCAGCATGGGAAAAAGCGAGAGGCATACGACATGACAATTCGATATATGTATATATTATGAAGGTTAGAAAAAAATTAAAAGAAATTTAAAAAGGGAAAGTGAGAGGCCCACGTTTCAGTTCCGAGTCCATCCCTTCACACGCGGTGTGACCTTGGGCTGGCTGTCCTTTCTAGAAACCGTGAGAAAGAGCCCAGTCCCCACACAGCAGAGGATCTGTCTTTCCAAAGAGCACAGTGCTGTCCTTGCTTGAGCCCCAGCCTGGGCTGACGCGAGCGGATTTCACCTCATTGCATCATGACATTTGCATATAACTTCCCCCAGAGGGTCCCCCATCTGCACAGATGGATTTAATGACCTCATTTGCCTCCTGCCCGGGGAAGGGTCTCGAGTGCTCACACAGGCCTGGAGAGCATCTTTGTCTCTCTAGCCTGTGGGCTCATTCTCTATAATTCTTTTTCTCTCTGCCCCTGTGCCCACCCTCCCTCTCTCCCTCCCAACCTCTCTCCACCCTGCAACTTTTCAACAATTTAAAATGTAGAAATGAACAGGAAGATTGAAGCATCAGCCCCAGCTCTCTCACCTAACTGAGGTGTGACCTCGAGCACGTGACAATTTCTCTGAGCCTCAGTTAACTCCGTCACGAAATGGGAGTGATGAAAGCACACACCTCCAGAGGTGGTGACAAGGGGTAATGAACTAACCAATGGAAAACCCCTAGCAGGCAGTGCGTGCCGCATGCCGTCTCGCTTAGCGGGGCGGGGACTGTGTCAGCCGTGTTCATTCTCGTTTCCCCAGGGCCTAAGCCACAGAATACGAATGCAGGCCTGTTTGCCTCTCCATCTCTCTCCGACTCTCTCACTGTGCTCAGGCTAGTGCACTTGTTTCTCTTTTCAATTTAAGCTCACAGGTGCGTGATGCCATGGTGAGTATCCCCGGAGCTGCTTCCATGCAGAGCCTGCCTTGCTGCTTACAACTGCTCACTGTGCCCTGTTCAGGACACTTCCTAGCCTCCGTGCCTATGCAGAGGTGGTACCGTCTGATCTAGAGCATTCCTCTGCAACTTCTTCACCTCTAAGACAAGCAGAGAATGTTAGAATTGGAAGAGACCTAGAGAAAACCCTCTAGTCCGTGTGGGGAAACTGAGGGCAGAGCCACGTCCAAATCTCACAGCTGAGGTCCAGTGGGGAGACCACCACCATGTGAGCCGAGAGGCCTGGATTAGCATCCTCATTTGTGTCATACTCGCCGAACAACTTTGGGAAAAACCCCTTCACCGTCATCACCCTGAGTTTCTGCGTCTACAAAAGGTAGATCATTTTTTAAATGATTTTTTTAAAAATGTACTTCATATGGTTGTGAGCAAAGATGAAAGAGGCCAAAACCCATCCTCCTGCCCATGCTAACATTAAGATGACCCAGTTACCACTCATGTCTTCTGCACAGTTAGTTTTCTCAGCAACTAACTCTTTCCCATTGGGCTCCTCGAGTCGTTAGGGACGGCTTCGCATCTGGTCTATGTCTCATGCTTCCTGCTGCGCCTCACACAGGCAAACATGCAACAGATTCTCTCTCTCGGAATAAGACACAAAGTCCTTAGCAAGAGTTCAAGGCCTTGCGTGGTCTCCACACACTTCTCAGACCTCACCTGGTTCCCGTGGTCCCCTCCCTCTCTCTGTGGCTTTATTTACTGGTGTTTTCCTGCTTTTTCAGCCATTCCTGCTCCTCCCTTTTCCTGGCCAGCTCCTCTTCCTGTGCCAGGTAGTATCTCAAGCTCCACCTCCTCCCTCATTAGTCTGGCCAGAGACGGCACCATCATGCTCATCCCATATCCCAGCCTCCTCTCCTTACACCATTCTTGTGCGGAATCACTTCTGCGCTTGTGTGCCAGGGCAGTCCGGGCAGGGACCGTGTCTGTCTGTTGTTGAACTGAGTCTTTATCTACCATATGGCAGGCATTCAATGGACCCACGGATGAAGCGACATATGAATGCACAAATATACAGGAAAAATACAAGTCACGGGGCCTCTGTTCTTGCACTCATGTGCTGTGTGACTTTGTACAAGTTCCCTCCCTTCTCTGGGCTTCAGGTTCCCTGTCGATCTGTACATTAAGAGTTGATTTTAATGATCTCTACCTTCCCCTCTGTCTGAAAATCCTTCACAGTCTGAGAAAGGCAGAAGGCAATGCCCTGGGCAGAAAAGATGGAGAAATGCAGACTTTCTCCACCGCTTTGTGTCTTACACGTTCCCCTTTCTGCCATCTGCAGTTCCACTGGCTTCTCCAAAGCTACCGGCTGGCAGGGCCCTACACCCGTTAGCTTCTCAGGCCCGTCTGGCTGTGAGAGCATAGTGTGACCATTTGCTTTCCTCCCTGGGCCAGCCCAGGGAGTTTCAGCGTTTCCCTAAAGAAATGGGTCTGGAACCTAAGGGAAGGAATTTCAGTCAGAACACAACGAAGTCTAGAAGGTTTGGTCTCAGGGAAAAGGAAGATCCAGGTTCTCCTTGTGGCCCCCCACACGCTTGTAAACGCAGCTGCGTCTACTGAGCCCTCGCTAGGGGCCTGGAAGGCAGCACTGCACGGCTTTCGGCAGGTCCTTGGCACCTGCGGACTTGGACTCCCCTCTGTGAGACAAGCGTTCTGGTGAGAAGCCAGTGAAGCAATGCTGCCTCCAGACCAGCTCATGGAGGTCCCCGTGCAGAGGACCCGCACCGGCACCTTGCCCTTCCTCTAGCCTCTCAGTGAACTGCCAGTTCGGGGCCTGCCTGGGGGTGTGGGGGGGGGGCTCCTCTCCTCCCAGGTGACTTCACTGATCGAGGGCCTACAATGGGGAAGAGAGGGTGGATATCGCCAGCCCTGCCCACTCCCCCAGGTGTTCCCGGTCTGACCCGGAAGAGACAGGGAAGCCTGTCTGTCCGGGTCCGAGGCTGTGGACACCACTGTACCCACATACACACGGGCCCCTCCGGAGGCTGTCTGCGTGTTGGGTGATTCCCACGTGCTAGCTCATGGGTTCCACACAACCTCGGAAGGCTTACAGATGGGAAAATAGAGGCTTCAGCATGTTTAAAAAGAAACAAACTTGCCCTGGGCCTCACTTAGTAGATGCTGCAGGATTCTAACCACCACCCCCCACCCCGCCGCCGCCGCTGCAAATACTGAGAGCTTGTCAGCAAGTGGGAGTAAGGGGAAGGCACCTCTTCACACCCCGACCCGGCTGACTGCCGCGTGGTCTGTTTCACAGCCACTGGCCTTTCATCCCTTATTTTGTGCCTGGCACCCAGTTACTCACTCTTCCCAGCAACACTAATAAGGCAGCTATTTTTACTATCCTCGTTTTACGTCTTAGAGGAAACGAAGATGCAAAGCGGTGAGTCACCGGTTTGGCAGGGGGCTTGGGATCTGCACCCATTTGTAACTGCCCCTCGGCACCACCCCCACGGGGCAGGTAGAATGGGAGTCAGGGTCCCCTTTTCACAGAGGGAGAAACTGATAATGGAAAGAAGAGTCCCATCCCGATAAAGCTGGCTCTCAGCCCGATTCCCAGATGCCCTGATTCCCCAAGCAGCTTCCCACCTTATCCCCCAGACGGCCTCCCAAGAAAACCTACCACCCACGGCACCAGTGCCACGGTGGCCAGTTTACATCTGGGATTCCCAGCACCATGTGGCCAGGCTGTCCCATAAACGGCTTGGCCACCCACTCTGGGATTCTGTCAACAAGCCCAGGTCGGTGACTAAAGGCCAGGATTCTCTCCTTTTTCTCTAGGCTGGAGATGGTGCTCAGCACAGGGGTTTCTCCCAGTGGGTGAGCTGCCCAGGATAACACCTCCACCCGCGTGTGTGAGCGGCTCAGGAATGCAGCCTGGCAAACGCCACAGGGCCCTGGCTGAAGGTCTGTCTGAGGCTGAATTCTGAATCAGACTCAACAGGGAGGTCACAGGCAGAGACTGTGCAGTGTGGGGCAGCAGGAGGCATCCTGCACTGACGGTCAGAAAGCCTGGCTGTCCACCCACCCACCGTGGGGTCCTGGGCGAGTCACTTTACCACAGTGAGTCTGGGGGGCTTCATAGTGTTGGTGGAAAGACTTGATGACATCAAGTAGACCAAGGCCTGATGCTGAGGAGGGCTCCCCTGCAAGCTCCTTTGGGGTAGGGTAGATCTGTGTCTGGCATGGGGCATGCAGCAGTCAATGAACACAGAAGCTTGTTTAAACGTGGATAAGTGG